AATAGGGAAGGTAGACCATAGAGAGGTAACTTATTCATGGAGTGCGTGATGCCATATCATACACTGGTATGGTTTGGAAGTAACCAATACAATACCATTGAAAAACTGGCCACCCCATATAGGGTTTTATGGGGACCAAAGTTAGGTGGTGATCCTAAATGTTATAGGGATATACATAGTTTTTGGTTTTCAGAATGTCGTGTCATTCATTTTTCTAAATATCCCTGCGAATGTTACTCCATGAGTTAGTTTTCTTATTCTAAAATGATCTGCTATTTTCCGAGGAAAACTTGATCGCAATTTTGGTTTAGAAAATTATATATGTCTCTTGAAGTTTCACAAAGGAGTATATCTCAGTTGGATATCTACCTCACTTGCATGCAGCTCTGGATGTTGACGTTACCAATTTTCCTCAAAACTTCCTTTCCGGGCAATTTCCATGTAACCTTTTGACGACATCGAACGTTTTCCGGGCCGGACAATCCGAGTTTCCGCCTTCTTATTTTCACGAAGAAAAGTGGGCTAGATGCCAGATGATATTCAATTATTGAGAACTTTGCGATGGAAACAGACTGACGAGTAATATGATGGAAGAATTAATCAAGTTGTTTTTCCTGAATTTCACAATTTTCCAGCATGGAAGCCGAGCTGAATCGCATAGAATCTGTGGAGGAGATATGATTTCTCCTTACCAGACTTATAACTGAAATGTCATTTCAGTATTATTTGAATTCAATATTTTCGAAACACCCATAAGGATTTGATGTGTGGAGCTTTGGATACTTTGGTACTAAAAAATTCCACGGAAACAACTTCACTGAGTCTCTTATAAAGTTGGCATATGGAAAAAACTTAATAATAATAATAATTTATTTTGAAATTGATACTTTTTGATTTCTTCCAATTGTAACTTCGACTGAACTGTCCTGATCTTTGGATAGATACGTGAAGCAGTTTGGTGATATTTTGATGAATGACTTGGGCATCGTTCAAATAGGGGAGAGCGGAGGAATGGCAATCCCTTAAGAATTTTTTTTTCTATAAGTAGGTTATTTCATGACAAATAATCACAAAAACAAGGGAACAGATAGACATGAACTTCCTGTCGATGAAATTTTGTTGAAAATTTGGAAAAAAATAACAAAATCATGTTTTTCGCAGAATAAAAGAGAAATTGGATGGGTACCGTTACCCCAGATAGTTGGAGTAATAGTGGCAAAAATTCGAATGAGTACAAGTAGACATTTTATTTTCAGGTTCAGCATACAATTTATGTGCCCAATTTAAAAATATCAATTTCTCCCGTACTCGCCACACCAAACATATTAAGCCTGTCGCATCTTTGTCGTTCTGTTATTAGTACAAGATACTATTTCTGTCAGCCTACGATGAATCTACGATAAATTCTTGGCATCTGGAGGATATTTTATTGTTCAACATAATGCTTTATTCAGGAATGGGGTGATGGTGGCCTACCAGCATTTCCCCGACACAACCGGTCACCATAACCCCAATAAACATTTCTTTCAATCGACATCCATGAATGGTTATTTATTATACAAGGGAAAAGGGTAGTAGATTTTAGCTCCAGATTGTGTTGTCTCCCGACGCGTAGCGGAGGGAGACAAAAAACCGTGAGCTAAAATCTAATATTTTTTCCGTGTATAATACACTATTTTTTTCTGTGACAGAAGAAAGGACGAATCAATATTGGGAAGATATTACATTATTTTGGAATCTGAGAATTATCGACGTGAAATTTCAAGTTTTTAACAGTAGGGACACCTGCGTTGTAGGCATCTTTATCATTATTTTGAAGTAATCAAATATCTGATGTCACTTCTGTCAGTCTTATTCTGTGAGTTGATTTCAAAAAATTAACAGATCAAACGACTTACCTGTAGGAAGTTCGATCTTAATTTTTCGAGCAACTTCGTCGAACCTCATTTCGTTTGTGTAGTGTACAATTTTGTATACGGCCGGCACAGTTTTTATAGCATTCCAAAAAACCTACTGAATCACCTATGCTTATCAGCGTGCTTGTTCGTATCAATATGATTTTGGGATTTTCCAGCGATGTTTAGCTCAACGGGTGGGAGTGTATAGAGGTCCACATATGGGAGGGTTTTAATGAGGTTCGACGAAGTTGCTCGAAAAATTAAGATCGAACTTCCTACAGGTAAGTCGTTTGATCTGTTAATTTTTCTTCGCAACTTCGTCGAACCTCATTTCGTTTGTGTAGCTGTTCAAAGATGCCTCTAGCTAAACATCGTGGGTATAAGCAGGTATAAGTTCTGCAAACTGCAATGTACGGTGTGCAATATCCTAGCAGAGAATGGTGGAATGATACAGGCTGCTGACTTGAAGAATAGTATAAAATAATAATAATAATAATAATAATGTACCTATAGTTTGTGCTTGACTTATTCTTGGAGTTGAAAAAAAATTTTTTCAAGCTACTGTTTCTTGAATTGTTGGCGATGCCCATAGCCAAGAATTCAAATATTTGATGAAGCAACGGGTTCTCAATAAATGGAGGGCCCCGTGCCCTGAGAACGCATACTATTATTTTCATTGAAAATTCCATGTACCAGAATGGTATATAAGGGTATGGCCAAACATTTTTGTTTTTGACAACACCATAAATTAACTGGTTTTCAAAAAAAGGGGGTTCCCCCCGAAAAATAGTATGAAATAATAATAATAATAATGTAGGTATATATGTATATATATACAATATATCTATTATTTACTTAATAATCAACACACAAAATAGTAATATTCTCTAGAGTAATTTGACAAAATCCATAACAATGTAATAGTGTGAGTACCTAATACGAATTTGTGTTTTATTTTGATACTCAAAAGCTACTTTCCCTGTTGATTTCCCGCCACTATTTTATTCACAAAATCGCCTGGCTTCGCCATTAAGGGCCTGCTGTAAAATCTTGCTAATGTGTCCGATCCTTTTGTCCAGCCAGCCGTTTTGTAAATTGAATTTAAGCTCACACCATTTTGTAGGGCTGCTGAAGTGGCTGCATGCCGAACGCTGTGGTTTTCAAAAATGTTTGTGTCTATTCCACTTTTTTAAGGACAGATTTGATCCATCTGATTATAGTTTGGCTGCTTGCTGGACGGAAGGGTCTTTTATGAGTTATGAACAGATTTTTTGTTGTTCCACGAATTGATGAAGTTTTCATAATATAATACCACAGTTGAGAGAATATTGTATATATTCTCTCAACTGTGATAATACTTCAAAGTTGAAGCTACACACAGTTGCGGTTTCGATTTGAAGTATGGAAATACTAAATTTGATCGCATTCTATTGGGGCCCGAAGTTTTAATTTTTTGAGAAATCCTCACTTCTATTTTTCCGTCGGTTTCTATTATGTTTTCTATAGATATTTTTGACAAGGTTTGAGCCCTGTTGTCAAAGCAATTTTCGTGGCTAGTTTACAAGTCAACTTTTCTTAATTCAAGGATGTGAGGGGGTATAATTCTTCTAGATATAGTATATAACAAGTTGTGGGTCCCAAGGGACTGTATATCTTGGTTTTGGCGGATTTATGTTGTAGGTTTCCTTAATAAATCTTTTCATCAATTTCTCATCTTCAGGGTTTGAATTTAAGATTGAGTTGAGTGTTGATCGATATGAATTTAGCACTGAATAAGATGCACCAGAGTCTACTTGTGTTTTAAGGAAGTCTATGGTATAAAACCCTTATACTCCTACTTTTTTCCCTGCACAGTATTCCCACCATTTCTTGTAGCAGACCTCGTATTGTTTGAGAGTGCTGTCTGAAATTGATGCAATTATGGTAGGAATGGCTTAATCCGGTAAGTTCTTTTTTATTCGAAATGCGTCCCCGATAACCTTCCTGCCACCAGGGTAAGTGATGTCCACAGTGGGTGTGGTTCTCAACATTTTCTCAAATAGGGGATACCAGGACTGGCTCTGCCATAGGGGAACTACTGAAATTCCAGTGCCTTTCCGTAATACTTTTGGAATTACATAAAATGGTGGGAAAACGTAGAAAAATAAACTATGCCAATTCACCGTGAATGCGTCGATCGCAATCGAATATGGATCAGGTCGCCAAGATATGTACTTCTTACATTTGGCGTTAAGGTAGCTGGCAAAAATATCAATCTCTGGCTTTTCGAGTGATTTAATTATTTCTCCATAATTATGCTGTGCTAGAAAGTTCGTATTCCGTTTCTATCGATCGATTGCACGACTCTTCGTCAGCTACTATGTTCTTTTTGGACTCAATATAGGTGGCGAATGCGTATAGTTTATTTTCCTCGCAATGCTGCCAAATTAGACGAGTTTCATTGTTCAATAGTGAAAACCGGACACTGGCCTTGCGGTTAATGCAGGAAGTGGCTGTGATATTTTCTTTTTTTTTTTTTTTTTTTTTTTAAGAATGTTGATATCAGTTAATCTTTGAGAAAAACACTTCAGGCAATACCAAGCTGCTTTGAGTTCTAGAATATTTATATGAAGACTACTCTCTTCTTCAGTCCAATAGTCGTGTGTTTCCTGTCCATTTGCGTATCCCCCCCAACCTGTTTTGGAGGCATCTGAATGAATTTCTACCTGATATTGTTTGGTTCCAAATGTTTGGAATGGTATGTTTTGCATCCATCAAGTAAAGTCTGTTTGCAAGTGTGAAGGGATGGACATTGAACTTCGTAATTTAAATTATTTCTAATGAGGGCTGCTTGTTTTTCCCTTTCAAAATGTTTAATATACAGCCATCCATATTTAACCGCAGGGCCGGCAGCCACTAACTGTCCTATGAGTTTGGCAAAGTTAATGATTTTACAGGTTTTAATTTTTTTTATTTTTTGTATACTTAACATCAAATTGCTTTCCTTTTTATTCGGGAGTTTATGGTCATGTTCAACGTATTATATGTGGATCCTAAGAATTCACATATTTGGAAGGATTCTAAATGCTTTTTGTGTTTGATTTATAATGAATCCTAATGAACTTAGTACCGAACATGTTCGATGCAAGTGTCTTTCACAGTACACCAGTATACTACCGATTTCAGTCCTTCCGATCTGAGTTTTTTAGGGACAGGTCGAAATATGTTCGTGAATACATGTGGTGCAACGCTGAGACCAAAGGGTAGAACTTTAAACTTCCATAGTGTATTATTAAAATTGAACTTCAGATACTTTCCGTGTGTTTTAGCTTTCGGTATGAAGAAATATGCGTCCTTGAGATCTATTTTAGCAAGGAACTCATTTCTAGAGATAATGTATTGAGCTACCTTATGGTCTTCGAATTTGAAATGGGGAGCTGTGATAAAATTATTGAATTTTATTAAATTCAAAATGAATCTGTATTCTCCATTTTGCTTTTTCCGCAGGAAAAACAATGAAATATATTCGCCTTGTTCGTGATTAAAACGTTAATTGTATGGCACCAATTTCTTGACGACTACCTTAAACTTGCTTAGATCGGACGGTTTGATATTTGCATTGGGTACAACTCTTTGTGTTCGTTTAAGAGGTAATTTGTACCCTTTGACCCATCTTGTTATGCCAGGGTCATGATTTGTATGATATTCCCGAGCTTAAACGTGTTTTCTCAAGCTACCAGCGAATTTGATGCTTACTCTGTGATTATCTAACGTCGCTTGGCCCAATTTTTCTCCTCCCCTCTCTTTTTCACGCGAGTGTCCAGTGTTTTGTGACTCGGTTTGTATTTGCTGCCGTAATTCGAGGTTGGTTCCCGGAAATTTTGTTTGAGCGCCATGCTAGGACTGCTAGGGGTTTGATAGTTTGTTGTAGTGGTACTAGTGGTGTGCCTGACTTTTTTAAAACCGGGCATGCTTAGTTCTTGCCCCACCCTTTCAACAGCTTGTGATGTTTTCAATGTTTCCTGTAATCAGTCATTCAGTGATGGCATTATGAGGTATCTGCGATGCAATGATAGAGACTGATAGGCCCCAGTGATGGCCTTGGCAGAATCAATCAATGAAGTTGAAAGTTGTGTCTTATTATTGATGTCTGCATCAGGATTTTAATTTATTTTATTCAAGGGATCTGAGAGGGCACTAGTCGCTATAGTGAGTGCTGCACGTGACTTAAAAATGTATCTTGTATTATTACATTGCTTTTAGGGCAGCTATCATTTCAGCATTCAATTTTGGAGGCCTTAATGACATACAATTTGATGGAGGCGGATATGATTCAATGAGTTTTTGCCATTCGAGGGGTTTGTTGCTCCCCTGAAGGTTGAGGGGCCGAATGCTCTCGCCCTGTTTGACGAGATACACTCTCGTAGTCCATCACATCTGTAAATGCGGGACTCATTTATGGTACGAAACTCCCAAGTTATATTGCCAGAACTTCTGTTAAAGCTCAGCTATGCACTTGTTTATAAATTCCAAATACATTTAAACACCTATATTAGGCATCTGTTAATGCCTAATTTATGATGATGTGAGACTGTCAATAAACTAGGCATCTGTTAATGCCTGATTTATGATGATGTGAGACTGTCAATAAATTTTAATTGCTTACCGTTTATTTCATTCTCACTTTCTTCGGATGAAGTTTCGAATTTTCGTTTCATTTTTTTCCCATTCTTTCTTCAGTTTAGCCAACTTTTGTTTCTTCCAACACTTTTTTAGAACCCTCGAGTCTTCCCTATCACTTGAACTTGAACTTGAATTAAAGGAAGCCATTCTCAGCTGATGTCACGAGAACAAAAGATTCAACGTTTAATTCGATGTGTACCGACCGCGGCACAAAATCATATTGATACGAACAAGCACGCTGATAAGCATAGGTGATTCAGTAGGTTTTTTGGAATGCTATAAAAACTGTGCCGGCCGTATACAAAATTGTACACTACACAAACGAAATGAGGTTCGACGAAGTTGCGAAGAAAAATTGCGAGTTCAGTAGCTGTTTAGTTATATACATAACCGCGAAGTCGAATGGAAGATAAAGGGACTTGCAGTTCTTTTTCAGAGACGGTATTATTGACTAATTTTTCGGAACTATAGCACAACAAAAGCCATCAACAGTGTATACCGGGTGGCTACGGAAGTATTGCCTACGCAATATCTCAGTTATTGTATGAAGTAGGTTTGTGAAATTTGGAGCGTCGATATAATGACATAAGAGCTAAAATTTGAGCATATTGACATGTCGAAGTTAAGTTCTGGTCTGACCGGAAGTAACATCAACTTTCTTATTTTGAATGGAAACCCTATTTTTTTTCTTTTCGCTTTATTCAGCATTCAATTTCCTTTCTAATGACATATCACAAGTTGGTATCTAACAAGAAACTAGATCAGAAAAAAATTATTACTGAAATTCACCGAGTAGGCCGTGGAAGCAAAATGAAAGCAAAAAAATGACTTTCTATTATATCATTAGAAAGGAATGGTTATGCTGAATAGTACTGGCAAGAAAAAGTTGTATGTTTCTATTTAAGTTATGGACCTACAGAGTATTGTTTTTTTCCCAATTTCTCCAATATTTTTTTTGGCGGCTTTTTATAACGCCGACGAATGAAAATAAAATATCACAGTTGTAGCAACTGTTATCAAGTGACGTATGGTTTCCATAGCTAACTTTTCAATTTTTGGCATTCATTTTGCTTCCACGGCCTACTCGTTGAATTTCAATAATAATTTTTTTCTGATCTAGTTTCTGGTTAGATACCAACTTGTGATATGTCATTAGAAAGGGAATTGAATGCTGAAAGAAGCGAGAATAAAAAAAAATAGGGTTTCCATTCAAAACAAGAAAGTTGATGTCACTTCCGGTCAGACCGGATGTTAACTTCGACATGTCAATATGCTCAGATTCTAGCTCTTATGTCATGATATCGACGCTCCGAATTTCACAAACCTACTTCATACAATAACTGAGATATTCCGTAGGCAATACTTCCGTAGCCACCCGGTATATATATGTGATATATATCCGGGAAAAAAGTAATTAATGAAAAGTGACATTTTATAACCTGCTAACAGAGATGAAACGCCAATTTTTTTTTTCCGTCACAGAAAAAAAGACTTATTGTTACTAGAGCTACTCATCGTTTATAGAGTTTCAGGTATATAACAGAGATTTTTGAGTCTATTTCTCAAAATGTTCGTCTTCATCAACTATTTATTATAGTAGGTCACTTGACTCTGAGTGAGTCGTCCATTTTTAATATTTTTCAAAGCATCAGGATTTGCCCAAGTTGATTTTCGAAATGAATCATTATAAAAGATACTGTTTAGGAATTCCTCAGATTCTGAATGCTCGATTCATTGGCCGATATCAATATCTTGAAACTAGGCCAACATTTCATTTTTTTTGTTACAATTTTTTGTGTAAAAATCAGTCTTCTCACGACATACACTAATGAAGCAAACTGATTCTGATGTTATCTGTGATCAGTGCTTTCGGAATTAATTTAGTTTCAGTATTTTGATGTGATCTAATCACGGTTAATGTATCGCTAATATCGCTATATCTCAAAATCTAAATCGAATAGAAACGAGAATTTTTTTTTATCGGATTCCGTTTGGTCTCATTTTTTCAATGGATCATAACCAAGACGGAATCATGGGTTAAGATCAGTGAAATTGATAATGTATGGACATGAGGACATTCAGGATCTGTATAATTGCAATTATAGTATATGTGTAACGGTACAGACCGCCAATCACATTTATAAGAAGCAGAGGATGGAGGCAACACACAGCACACTGAACATCTACATCGAATAATTAGATGAAACGCTGTGTTGTTGGCATACATTCATTAAATATAATTAGAGGTGCTGGGAAATTTAAAAATCGTTGAAATGTTGGAAATGAACAGAGAGCTGCAACGTTAATTGCTTCCCTTGCAGGGAAGTATAGTTGGTTTATATTAGTAGAGATTGGAAAAAGTTGCAGCATGCAAATAACAAGAAAATATAGAACTTACCTTGCTTATTATATTTCCAACTTTCTGTTCGTACGAATGGTACAATACAAAAATGAATTCATAATAGGGAAGACCACTGAGGAAATAAATCCACCCAAACCTCTTTCATAATAATGTACAATCAATATTAGGAAGTGAAGTTTTTTTATGTTCTGGTTCTCAAGAAAAAGGATATCCTGTAACGTCCGGAGAACGTGAGAACCAAATTGAAGGAAATCCAATCTATCGCGTTTTGAAAGCAGCATATTCCATTCGATATTTCAGAAAGCCAGATATGAAGGTGGAGCAGTGACGTATTAGTCCCGAACTGTACCTATCTCTCTCTGATACCGTGCCATTCTGAAGTATTGCGGTGTGATTGGTCAGCTCAAGGACAAAGGGCGTGTTAGGACTAATATGTCACACCAGTCACAACCAATGAATGGGGGAGCCCACTGATTTTTAAAAACGACACATCGTACTATAAGGAAGATTTTATTGGGTCTCAACACCAACAAAGCTTGTGGCTCCAAGAAATGTGCTCCCGAACCAACACCTGTTCTCTGCAAGTTGTTCAACTACTCTTACAAATTAGGGATATTACCGTTCAACTGGAGATTGCAAGAGTACAACCAGTTCCTAGAGAAGGCAAAAAGACCCTGCCTAGCAACTACAGACCAATCGCACTGCTATCTATTATTTCAAAGATCATGGAGAAAGCTATCAACATCGCACTCATGAAATACCTGGAACAAACAGGTGTTCCGCAAGGATCAATTCTAGCACCAACACACTTTCTACTCCATATCAATGATTTGTTGGGAGCAACTTCATGTCCAGTACACAGATGATAGTACCCTCCATACCGCCTTCTCTTTCAGGGCTCCAATACTTCCCAGGCAAATCAGAAACGACCGAGGGAGAAATGTTGACAACATAAATATGGACTTTGCAACAATTCCCGAATGGGGATCCAATAACTTGGTAGACTTCAATGCAAAAAAAACACAAGCATGCATTTTCTTTAGAAAAGCCGATCTCACTGTGCCCAACATAGGCTTGTCAGGAGTAACCATACCTTTGAAGACATCCATTTCGATGCTTGGTATCACTATCCGCAATAACTTTCAGCTATTTCACTTCTAGTCAGCTGCTTATGATCTATAAGGCACAGATCCGACTTGTCCTGGAATACTGTTTCCATATTTGGAGTGCAGCGCACCCAAACATACCCTGAAACTGTTGGATTCTGCCAAAAAAAGGGCAATCCGTCTCGTGGGTGATGCCTCGCTCACAAACTCGCTCATTTTTCTGGAACACCGATCTGGCTCTATTTTATAGATATTTTCATGGACGATGCTCTCCTGAAATATCAACAATTGTTCTTCCCTTAGCAGTCCCCGCGAGATTAACCCGTCGAGTTGAGGCTTCGCACCCCTTCGTGGTCACTTTGGAGACCTGCAGAACATTACTTTCCAAAGACTCATTCATCCAACAAACAGCGAGGCTTTGAAACACATTGCCAAGGGAAGTGTTCCCCGAGGCATAAAACCTCCAGAAATTTAAGAGCAACACCAATTCCTACCTTATTTCCCTTGGTTCTCACGATGTTTTCTGAACATTACAGGATATCCCTTTTCATGGGAACCAGAACAAAAAAAAATTGTGAGCTCTCTACCAGAACACTACCAATAAATAGAATTTTGAATGTTTCCATCCAAAGTAGAACGATGAAAAAAATAAATTAGAATATGTTCTTTTCAAATCACACCCTTCCTGTGCTCTTTGAAATGGTGGCAAATCATTGTATCAACTGGTGTGACGTATTATTCCCAACACGCCTATTGACCTTGAGCTCACCAATCACACTGTAACACTGCAGAATGACAAGTTATCACAGAACTAGCTATACAGCTCGGGACGAATACGTCACAGCTTCACCTTCATATCAGGATTTTTGAAATATCGAATGAAATGTGCTGATTTCAAAAAGCTATAGACTTGATTCTCTTCAACTTCAACTTATATAATATTGATTGTACATTGAATGTGAATCATTATTTATCGATTGAAAGATGTAAGGACGAATTTTATCCTTCAGTGGTCTCCTTTATTGAAACCATCTCAAATGGTACAGAAAGTGTGTGTTTGAAAATACATTTTTCTTCAATTTTTTTTTTATCGTTCTAGTATGAATGAAAAATTCGAAATTGAATTTACTGATAGTTTCTTGGTATACAGCTCACGATGATGTCGTTTTGAAAAGTCAGTAGCCATTGGGGCATGAGAAAATCGTGTATATACTAATCTATTCACCTTATAGTGAAAGATTAGGATGGTAGGAAGGATATATAGGACATTTTCCATATTCTTTTGAAATAAGTATATCAGAACATGCAATAGTTCAGAAGGCGACCAATTCAAAGAGATGTTGATTACGTTAAAAGGAGGCAAAAGCTTGAATTCGATTCCAAATATCTTCAATTCGAGAAATGATCATGTATGGGCTTAGGAACGGCTTCCAATAAATATTTGTTAATGATTAATCTATTCGGTATGCATTGAGTCTGCTAGTTCAACATTCGAACAATTTCGAGAAGTGAATTCTCACTTCTGTTGTGCCGTGTTAAGTTGTGTTTTGATCTGGAACAATGAAATATTTTTTATTTCTTACAGTGACATTATAAGCTTATATCGTCATAGTTACGATATCTATAATGAGGGTCATAACTCCCTTGGGATGTTATAGATGCTATAATTCCCTCTAGCT